GGTCGTGGCGTTACGCCGCCTGGGTGAGAGCGCAGACGACAAAAGCAGGCGAGTGAATGGGAAGGCTGGCAGAGAGAAGCCGAGGTGTTTCTGGAGCCAAGATGTCAGTGACTGTCAGCGAAGTCTGCTGAGGGAGAGACCTGTGCCTGCCTGCCTTGCCAGTTCCAGCCGGCGAGGTTATGTTTTAGCCGCGGTTAAAAACAGCAGCAGCAGCAGCAACAACAGATTGCTCCCCCCTCTTGCTCCCTCCCCTTCGACCCCGCTTTAAACCCCAGCAAGCGAACGACCATCCAGACGATGATGCTCTTGCTGAGCCACTGACAAAGAAAAGGCAAGTCACCCGTTCCTGAAACCGGGATAACCGGCTGCTTGCAAGCGGAAGATGTCTAGCTGCTGAACTTTTCTGTCCTGTGATGATGCTGTGGCGAGCCTGCTGATCTGAAAGCCATCTCTTCTGGATTTCCGAGCTGGCCAGATTGAAAGAGATCAATGGACTGATCAAACAGCCGTAGCTTTCAGGTCTCTTCAGGGGGGATATATCCCTTCAGCCCCCGTCGCTCGGGTGCTCGTGGTGAGGGGAGCAGGACATCTTTGTATAGGTGGGTCGCTGGCTTGCTCCCGTTCGAGGTGGAAGGCTGTGTTTCTCCTCGCCAGCTCTCCTCCGCAGAGAAGAAGAGGCAGATGAGACTCCAGGACTGCCTCCAGGGCAGAACTTTGTAGCGCTCTCAGCATCCCTCCGCAGCGTGGATGTGAGCCACGGGAGTTGGGGATGTTTGAGGCAGTCTCTGCCAAGTGACACCTAGCAGCTGCTCCGGAGGTTTTTGCGTGGTCTCACACTCAAGGGCTTTGCCTGTTGTGAAGATGTCCATGGTGTTTCTGTGAAGCTGAGGTATGGCTGCTGGAAGGTTACTGCTGTATGCTGGCCTCTCTTTAGCTCTGTGTGCCCTGGGCATGCTGGCTGTGGCAATCTGCTCTGACCATTGGTACGAAACTGATGCCAGGAAGCACAGAGAGAGGTGCAAGAGCATCACCACTAAGAGAAATGATCCTGGCTTCATTTATAACTCCAACAACAACCTGCCTCTCAGGGCCAGCAGGTCTAGGTTGGACCGCTGGGAAGGGAAACTCCTCTTGGCAAGAAACAGGAGGCAGATCTTTGCTATGAGCGCAGTTGACGAGTGCAACAGACAGTACAACTCGACCAACATGGGGCTCTGGAGGAAATGCCACCGACAAGGATTCGACCAAGAGCTGGAGGAGCTGATTGCCAAAGGTAAGGGCTGTTTTTTAGAAAATGAACGTGCCAGGCCCTCCTGAGCTGAGCAGAGGCTGAGCAGAGCCATTTGGGCTCACAGATGGGAGCTGGCGTCTCTATCCAAGTACCTCTCCTTGCGATGGATGAACTGGCCTGGCTGGGCATCGCTTCCCGAAGCACTGCCAGGGCAGTTTCCCGCAGGGTCTCTACTGCTGAGGCGTAGGGTTTGGGAGCAAGAAGGCAGCAGGAGCGAGAGCAGACACACCCCAGAATGTCTCTCTCGTGTCTCTGTCTCTCTAAGCTTATATAGTCTGCCCATCACCATGGTATCAGATTATTTTCCACGTACGAATAAGAAGTATTAATAAAGCAGACACTGGATTTTTTTTTCAATGTTGTTTTTCCCTGGTGACTCGGGCAAAGTACATATTATCTTATTCGAGGCTACCTATGTCTGTATTTCATCATTCCCTTACCAAATGCCCTATCAGTCCTGAAATACACCATTTGCAGTGCTCACATGTAGGCTTTTTCTATCCTCAAATGGAGAGTAAACAAAGAGAAATGCTAAAGAGCAGGAGGAAACCCAGCTTGCTGTTTACACTGAGCTATGTCTTGGAATATTTTCAATGTCTACAAAACGTTACATGAATTTATTAGGAGTGTTAGAAAGGAATCATTTTCTCTTGGGGTGGAGATGCATCTGTTTGCCTGCAGCATTTTTGTGCTATGTTTTTTCTTGTCTTTTGGTCCTTCTTTTTCTTTTTTCCCCCGAGGTACCAGTTCAAGGTGATGGTCAGTTTGCCTCAAATGTTTCTTTGATCTGAAGTATAAGAAGGGGAGATACGCATAAAACCCAGCCTAAACATCCTGTCTACAAAAGATGTATGCTTTTGCAGGATGGTGAGGGTTTCAGTGAAGGATGACAGCATCTTTGCTACCCACAGCATGGTTACTCCACACAACAAAATAACATTTCCCTCCCATGGTTATTTTGTTGCATTCAGATGATTCCCCAGCGGTTTATTTCCATCACAGTGCAATTGTTGCTTCTTGCACCATGCAATCTTTAAAAATACTTGTTTGCTAAGTGTGTTCTGTGTCCCAAACTCCCTTGATAGCTTGTGTTAATTCCCTCTTCAGACATTGTAAGCGGAATTATTGCTTAAAGCTAATTATTCACGAGGGTTATTCTCTCACATGTGTTTGCCAATGTATACGTTTTGTTCCGTGTGTTTTAAAAGTGAGCAGTAGAGGTGGGTAGCATGGTATAGACTTGCATGAGGCAGTACAAACAGGTGGTGCAGCAGGGAACCTAGATCACTAGTTGGGATCCTGTCTGTGTTGCTAGTGACCCTTAATGTCTAGCTGCTATTTAACGACCCCTGTGAAATGAACTGGTGGCTTCAGTCCCATTTGTAGTGGACAAGTGAACATGTCCAAAGCCTGTCAGCACCCTGGCACCCTGCTGCTGGTTTCAGTGCCAAGGGAGGGATTCCTCTTCTCCATCTAGGTGAGGGCGCGGACATGCTGGGCTGGCCGCGGAGGGCTGGATGGCTCTGCCACGTGTGCTCGCTGTGCTCGGGGCATAAACAAAGAAATTCAACCTTGACAGCAGGCGAACACGTCACCAGAGCTCACCTTTGGCAAATGGAGTTTCAGTTATTAGAAAGGTTTTTCATCTTGAAATGAGTGAGACTCGTTTCTCTTTCGCCGCCTGCCTTGTCCTCAGGAATGTCCGTTTGTCCTGCCAGAAACTGCTGAAATTGCCTGGCACTGGGTTATGTGTAAGGGCAGCTCTGCTAAGTGTTAGCCATAAAGAAAATGTGGCAACTCAAGCTAAGGTGGTTAAATGCCAGCGAAGATAGTCTTTGAAAGATCCTGCTGTAATTTGTGTGTGTTCATGTGTATGTATGAGCGTGTGAATGAGTGTGTATGTGTGTGTGTGTGTGTGTGTGTGTGTAGTCAACTAACTCTAAATGTACGGAGTTCAGCTGGCAGGAAGGGATTCCCGGGCTCAGGTACAGCGTGCGTTCCTGCCCACGTATTCCTGGGCATACGTGTGTGCAGGTGGCCAGATAGCCACTTCGCAGAGTCGCTGCCCCAATGTCAGAAGTGCGAACTGTGCGCATAAGGGAGGTATTGGTATGCGTGACTCCTTGCCTTCTTTGAAGGTTTTTGGTACACATTTAACAAACTTCATTGTACATTGAGAGAAATGTTAAAGGAGGGAGACTTGTAACACTGAATACCAACATTATAGTTCATTTTTGGAGTGAGGATCTACCTATACTGTAACTCTCGGCCATGATGAAGAATCACACATGTTAGCACTAATGCTATAGAGGTGTGTTGCTTTGGCACCTCCAGATTAAAACATAGAAAAGCAAGTATAATGGCAATTTGATAAAATAAAGTGTTTGACTTGCTCGGAAATAAAATTGGAGATACTATAGGATTGCTCGTCCACTTTACGTTTTGTTAGATCAAAAAGAACTAATGGATTTTACTCTCCCCTTACGAAAAAGTAGTGTAAAATACTCATCTGTTAAAAATCCTTGTATGCTGGAATCGCTGAATTAGGAGGAGCCAGCTTTAGATGGGTAGTCAGCTAGCGTCCCTGTTCCCACCTAAGGCCAGCTACTAGACTGTTTCTTTACGATCCTCGGCTATATGATGAAAGTGGGATAAGTACATTCACCATTGCTGTCCGATGTTGAGAACAGCTATGACTTCAAAATGGGGCAGGTATTCTAGGTTCATCCCGACAGCACCACTTCGCTTTTCTGGTTTTCCTTCCATGGCAGACACACATCTGGAGTTAGAGGTTGCAGGGGCGGGTGCCTGGGCAGAGCGTGCCCTGTGCAGGTGTGAAGAGCTGCAAATGTTCTCTACCTGTGGTAATCAAATACCCTGACTGGGGTACGTATTTCTGCACAGATGAAATCTCTTCTGTATGCGCTCCAGGGCAAATACCATATAAAAGAGGATGTTATTGGTACATAGGCCTTTTACTCTCCTTCCTCTGCCAGCTGTTAATTTAATCTAGCACACCTCTTTCGGAACTGGATAAACTAATGCGGGTTCTGGCCTCAGATACTGTGTGTAATGCTATATGTAATTGAATGTAAATGCTATTAAGGGTTGGTGTTTTGTTTTTTTGGTTTGGTGTTTTTATTTTTTTTTTAAGCTAGACAGAATCTAAATGATCCATTTATTTTGAGACAGATCCTACATTTTTCCCTAGGCAAAACTTCCAGTATTGAGAACGGTAGGTTTGTCTATCAAAGGATTAAAAAAAATGGTCATTAAGAGCCTAACTAGCTTTGCAAATACCCTGCAGTTATTCTGCTTATGAACTCTGCTGAAATTAATACAAGCTGTAGGAAATGGCTTGTGGCAGGATCAGGCCCTATGGTACTTGGCAGTATTCTGATGCCCGTGGTTTTAAAAAACAGTTCTGTTTCCGAATAGGCTGGGTCACTTTTGTAATTCTATTCTGTATTTATTAGTTTTTACTTTCTGGCAAATAAATCGAAACCTTTATGTTGGATTTTGCTAGAAAAACTGGAGATCTGTTGCTTAGATATAATAGACACTAATGCATATATAAAATAATTGGTCCTATTTATATTTCTCCTATTCCTTTTTTTATATTTCCATAGAACCCAGGTGCATATTTCAAAACAATACAATTAGATAAATAGGCAATGAATTAAAACAGATTGTCACAAGTAAGCATACTCAGGGAGAGGCAGGCAGGCATGAGACCAAAGGCCTGAAGAATATTCTAAAGCTGCGTCAAAATTAGGCAGTTAGTTTGTTCTCCTTGTTATCGTGAATGAAAAAAAAAAATCAAACCAGAAACAACAGAAATTACAGTCAATAAAGAAATTATTGGAGTTGAACAGGTAAACCCAGGGCCCAGTCTTGCTAACTTTTACTCACCAGAATAATCTTCATTCCTGTGAATGGCCTACTTGGACTGAGGGAAAGCATTCTTGTACAGAAGGACCATTCAAAAAGAAAGAGCTTACAAAGGTGGTCCTCTGATTCTGCTTTCGCATCTGATCAAGTCTTTTAGCACCAGAGTTTCACTCCTGATCCCTAAAGCCTTGTAGCGTTTGGGTTGGTTCAGCACAATACTCTAAGCTTCTTCTGATTCTCAGGTCTGTCCAGTCTCCTCCATGAATTAAATAGCCCTGCTGCTTGACGCCCCTTTGAATATAGTGTTCCCTATATCCTATTAGATCCACTGTTTGCCTGTTTACCACTGAGTTTCTAGCAAAAGCGGCATTCCCTCACCCTACCAAAAAATCCCAGTGAACCAACCACCTCCACCACTAAGCAAGCAGAGAGTTAAATGCAGGTAAGTGTCCATTCGTGGCCGGGAGAAGGCAGAGTTTATGTCCTGCTTTGGCAACCAGCAGCTCACAACTCCTTGTATAGGCCTCGTAGTGATCCAGAAAAAAACCTGGAAGCCACAGGGTCTGTCTGCATCCCACGGCAATGCTGCTTAGATGCTTTCCTGCACTAGTTGAGAGGAAAACAAGAAAGGAAAAAAAGAAATGACATCATTTAATTACAAAGGTACAATAAAGTAAATGAAGAAGTTGCACAATAACCAGAGTCTGTTCCATTTAGACAATTACTACTCAGAGGACCTTTCATCTCGCTTTTGGAAGGCTGCCAGTTAAACCTGTCTGGATGGGGCTCTGCTGCCTGCCATTGGAATCCAATTTTATTTAAAAAAAAAAAATTGACAATGACCTTATTATTTCAATCCCCCTTTTACCTTCCTTCTTCCCCCAAGATCCATGCAAGTCATAGTAAATCCTATTTTTAAAACATTTTATTGCGAGTATACTTAGCCCATGCCACCACTGAAAAAAAAAGCAAGTAATTCCTGTGCAGCCTACCTCCACCCCAAATAATATGCAAGATTTCTGGGATGAAAGCATTCTCTGTTTTGGTTTGTCAGATGCGCGGCACAACTGAGGAAGAAAGGCTTAACCGGA